TATATTACATCACAGATTTAGTATCTTCGTCACAAAGATGTGATTGTGGGTGTCCTTGTGAGTGTATGATGCAAAGAATACTTCCATCCAGAGATCACACTTTATATTCACTCCTACCACACTTCACACCTACACCCCGTTGTTCACTTTGACCAACTTCAATGTGCAATAATGCATACATTGCTTCTTAAAAAATCATCGGTACAGGTACAGGCAGTTTAAACTGTTATGCTAGTGGATCATGCGGTTTATTCATATCAATAAGTTCTGATATTTCATGCACTGATTATAGCAGTAGCACTGATTTTTCTTCTGATGAACAATCTAATATACGTATTCTTATAATTGGTGGAACATATACAGTTGAATTTGCTGGAAGTGCTTGGTTTGCGTTGGCTATAGGTAGTAGTTGTGTATAGCAAGTTACTGGATGAATTGATTTAACTGTACGATCTGATAGAAAATTAAATACATCACCAGTAGTATTAACATAATCAATTATTTATAGACAAGTTGGAATCAACATGTTCATAGGGGACAAATGTCAGATGCTGATTCAACTGATGCACTAAGATGCCGATGTTCAACAAATAATGTAGGAGAAAATCTTAATATAAATGGATATAATGAATGTGGTTCAATTTGTGCAACAAATTTACCTACTGGTTTTATATTTGTCGTTAGTCTTACAAGTGCAATATATTAGGATGCAGTATTACAAATTGAAGATTATTATACCTCAACATCTCCAATATCAATGAGTTCAGTTTCAATACAACTACTTTTCTATGGTCGATCATCATCTGATCATTGTTTAACACCTCCAATAATTATTAGTGTTAGATCAAATTTAGGTAATTATTTCAATTTTTTTTGTCTTTACTTAATTTTAATGTTTAATTTTATTTCTTTTTGTAGCATATATTGGTACTCAAATTTGTAAGTATGTCCATTTGATATCAAATGATTATTTTTCATCATCTTGATTGTTAGCTTTACTAACAAATGAAACAGTAATAGCACAAGTTAATAGTCCATATAAAACACTAATTAATTTTACAACAAGTTTACCGGTTGGAGTGACAAAAAGTGCTATTATAAATTCTAGTACAGGTAATTATATTACTTTGGAAATGGTTTTTGTCTAGTAATTCTTTGTTTTTTTTTTCAAAAGATATATATATACAATAACACTCTATTGAATTTCAGTGGCAAATCAATATGGTTCTCAAAGTTTTTGTGCTGGCGCTGTTGATTCGACAAATGTTCAATCTGAAGAATGATGTATTAGGTTTTTACTTGGTTTTACTGCACCTAATTTACAAACACCATCAATGGTACAAGGATCAGCTTCTCCAGTTACTACTGTTTTTGCTAATCAATCTATATTTTCTACTCAAACTATTGTTTATTTTAAAGTAAAAGTTTTAGTTTTTTTTAAAATTTTTGTAAAGAATACCAATGTAGTTGCTGTTAATCGACTAGGACGAAATGGAACATGGATATATTTTAATGATGCAACAATGGATAATACAGTTGTATTAAAATATGATTGTGGTTTGTCTCTTAATGTTATATTATTCAAAACATTCAATATCCAATTTTCTTATTCGCTTTCTATAAATTTAAGAGTATCCAGTGGAACTAATTTTTGTTGCAAATATAAAATAGTAATTTATGAATTAATAAAAATATATTTTTAAAATAGATGCTGAATCAGCACCGATAACTGATCCAAATTTTTGGATTTTTGATATTTGACATCAAAATCTTTCGAGTACAACAAGAACTCCATCTACAATACATACAGTAACAACAAAAGTAAAAGAAATATGGATCTTGTTTTCTTTTTCTTATAATATATTCTTTTCATAAAATTAGCCATTAGGTACAACAACACCTGTACCTAATTTAACAACAACTTCTTCAACAACATACATAACAACATATAATGTATTTTAGTATTGAGAATGATGAATATTGACAAAAAGATTAAAGTAAAAATGATATGTGATTTACATATTTTTCATTTTAGCGATTTCTTTAATTTCAAAAACAACTCCAATAACAGATATGAATATTTTCACGTCAGAAGATTTTGTCAGAGCTTGTCAACAATCAGTTACCATTGCAACAACTCTACTTATGTTCATTATAGTTGCAATAAAAACTATTATGATCTATTCATTTTTTATTAAAATAGATGAAATGTTCAATTCTCGTCGAGTTGTGGCTGATCAACAATGACGTGCATTTATTAGATGACTTCAAGCCCATTGATAAAATAAACATTTATTATATTTTATTTACATTTAATTTTATCGTTTGTATCATTATGAAACATGTTCAAATTGGATGAAATTTGGTTCTTAGAAATTTTTTTAAAACTGTTGCAAAGAAAACCTTTACTTTTTCTGTATTTAGTTCTTCAATTGAAAGTTAATCATATTTTTATATATATGGAGAGACTTTGATTTCTGAATGGATAGATTTATAACAATTCAAATGATTTGAAATTTTACTATCAAAAATCATATTGACAGAATAAAATGAGATTTGCAGTAACCCAGCTCAGATGAAAAGATTAGTCAGTAATTACTTTATTTGATTTTAGATGCTTATATCTCTTTGAGCAATATCTGCAAGTTCATTATAGGCTTCGTTAATACATTTGATAATGGATAAACATTACACGTAATAGCAGTTACCCGTCTTTTACAGTTTTTGCGTCTAAGCCACTATGTGTTCCTTCTGTTTTAAAATGGTCAAACTATAACGGTTTATTTTTTTCTGTATTACTCTCTCGAGTTACTTGTTATCAAGACTGATTCATTAAGTCTTTAACATTTGTTGTTATGTGCTATCCAATTTATTTTTGCATCTTCTATGTTTGACTGCTTAATCTTTTCATCTATGTTGTCTATTTTAACATGTCATTTCTATGTCGAACCTTTTATTGATTAAAGAATAGATGTATCAAAAGTTTTATTGACAATTGATGATATTCATATGAAACTTAGACAACACATATTTATAAGTTTGATTTATTCGATGACACTCAAATAGATAATTCTTATTTAGTTGTCGAGAGTTACATTTTACTAATAAGATTTATTTGTTTTTCCTTGTTTCAATAGAATATTCATGTTTATCAGGCTATATTAAGCATTGCAAAATTGTATACAATTGTATTTAAAAGCTTTTGTGATAATTATGTTATTGTGATTCATCAAAAAGCATCCACAGTACATATCAAATATACTCTCAGCATATTGTCTTTATTCATATGCATATAGACGTTCTTTCTCTCGTTCGTTAGCTAGATCATATTATAGCCAATAAATGGTTCATAAATAACAAAAGATATGTTCACGTCTTGATAAATTATGTCTTACAATATACATGTAAATGTATATAAATGCATTTAAGAATTATTCATCGAAAGCAAAATCAAAAAATTAATAAGTGATTGCGTATCTTTTATACAGCTGCTCTGAGTGATTTTTATTATGGCTTATCCCACTGTCGGTCACCATTTCGTTGCTGATGATGTTACGAGTTATAGAAAACACAAAAACACTATTTCTCATTTTGTTAAGTTAATGATAATCATGATAACTCCTGCCCTTTCCTTTTCATGTCTTCTATTTTTGTCCAATTTGAATGATATCAGTGCATTAGTGAGAACACATATGGGTAGAGTCATTTCTGCTTACGATCGAATTCATTACGAATTGATATTGTTCACAAATGTCTAGCTCTTTTACAATGAAATTCAATAAAAATATAAACAAAAATACACATCGTAGTCTATACAAAAACTCTAATTGCTTGATATTTGAGGGGAGCACGTCTATTTACTTGTGTGCCGATTAGAGATTGCTCATGTATATTAATTGAAACATGAACAAGGTTCAAGAGCGTTTCTGGAATGATTGATCACAATCAGTTGCTTTGTTATGCAAATGATGATGCAACTTCTAATTGGAAAAATACGATGTTGATGTAAGTAATAAATGAAGTGAAATACACATAATACATCTAGACGATACAATCGACTTTTGATTAGTTTAATCGTTTACCCGAGAGCTTTTCCTACATGAAATAGCTTTAACAGGGAAAAAGATTGCTTCTATAAATGATATTTTTCTTATTTTCAGTACATTCATGGTTTTCTTTACTATTTCTCTATGAGTAACCTTATGTAACTTGACTGTCTGATTCTTAGCAGATTATTAAAGATTGAGAAAGGAGAAAAAGTAATCTGTAAATAATAAACCAATAAATCGCTGTTTTCAGCTAATCAGAAACTGCTTTAGTTATATCATCAATGAACAGCTTCAATATTTACATCAATGTAAGTATACATATTTTATTTTGACTAATATTTAATTGAGCAGTAGAATAATCTAACTGAGCCATAAAATGATTAAAATGAGCAATATTGAAATTGAGCAGTGAAGAATTCAAATGAGCAATAATATATTCAATCAGCAATAAAAATACTGAATGAGCAATAAAAATATTGAACGGGCAATAATAAATTCAAATGATACAAATCCGTCTACTTCAACATATGGTGCGTATGTTTGGCCAACAACGCTGGCGAATGGAAAAATGGTACTTGCACTTGCCCATCATTCCTGAAAGACTACATTTGTAAGCACGTCATTGGGATGTCTATAAGACTACAATATTGCAAAGCTCCACCAGAGGCAAAAAATGTAGCAATTGGTACAAAAAGAAAGAGGGGCAGACCATCTAAAGCCAAAAAAGCTTTGGTCACACAATAATTTTTTGTTATGAAAATATAAAGTTTTTCTTGCTCACATATGATTTTTTTCTTGCTCAAATATAAATTCATTACTGCAATTTAATGAAGTAATTATTATCCATTTCATAATATAAAATTGCTCAAAAAAATTTTTTTATTGCTCAACAAATTATTGCTAATTCGTATTTTAATTATTGCTCACTTTGATTTTTTAATTGCTCAAATAAATACTAGTCTTTTATTTTCATGATTCTCAATATGCAACTCCTTAAACTAGATTATAAAATGAACAAACATGCAGGACCAAAACAAATTCTCCAAATTGCTCTACAATGGCACTTTAATGATTTTGATTTTTTTATGAATTTGATAGTTAGTATACTTTATATATGTTTAATCTATATTGATTTTTGTTCTATTTACAGAGGGTGTGGGTGTGGGTGTGGGTGGGTGTGGGGTGTGGGTGTGAGTGTGGGCGTGTGTGGTGGGTGTGGGTGGGATGTGGATGTGGATGGGTTTTGGGTGTGTGCAGTGTGCGGGTGTTGTGTGTGGGTCTGGACGTGAAAATAGTAATAATATCCACTTTTATATCTCACACCCGCACCCCACACCCACTCCACACACACACATACCCACACACCCACCCACATTCACACTCACCCACATCCACAGCTACCCACACAAATCCACACCAACACACCCACACCCATCAACTACATTGTATTACATGATTTTGTCTCTAAGTCGCATCACATAGAATGACTGGTTTTCTTACATGCTTTTTTTATTCCAACACAATACCGATGAATGAGTTCTAGGGTCATAGAGGCTTCTATATAAGAGGAGGAGAGAACTGCTTTATTTGCCGTTTCTTGCTTAAATTCTAATGTCAATATTGCTGATAAGGCATGCTGCACATCATATTTCGCTTTACAATGTAATATATCACTGATGCTCTTAAGTTTTTTTGTTGAAATAAGACTTCATACTTCATCTAAAGTATGCAAACAAGCTCTATCTAGAGATTGTGTTCACAAACGAGTATGATATTTATCTTCAGTGACAATTCTTGAATGGCAATGCAGGTTTCGAACTAAGAGAGTCTTCTGTAAAACCGGCTCAATTTGCCTTTTTTTTTTACAGAGTATGTATATGTATAAACTCTTGTATTTCGCAACTCAAAATTCCATCAGAGGAAAAACAATATTTCGCATTGTTTTCTTTTTTCATACAGATATATAATGAGCACAAGTCGTCAATAACAGCATTGTCTTTTTTTGTGACTTAGATCGCCTTCTAACAGCTAACAGATCAGTAAGTTGCTTTAACTTCGTTGTTGCTAAGCCTTGAGCAACATTTTGTTAGATAGAATTTTCTGTTAAAGATATTCAACAGTCAACAACTGCTATAGCTTCAGTAATACAACCGAACCAAAGTAAATCATCTTCCAGTAAGTGTTTTGTTGCGAAACCGTAAATAAATAGTAATGTCTATTCAGAATAGGAAGCTGCGGATTCTTCCAGATCCGGACCCGAATCCGGACTCGACCGAATTCGCGTCCGAGCCCCAGTCCATATCTAGATTTAGCTTCGAATTTGAATAGAACTATATGAGGGAAGACAAGAAGGAATAACTTTATATTGGTTTTTTCTGAAATTAACCAATAAATAACTAAAATATTGATCGTTTATTTGATTATGCGCACAAGAAATGCTAAATATGAATAAAAAAACCTCGTATCTGCATGCGTTCGGGTCGAAGTCTGGGTCTATCGGGTCCGGATTCAAAAAAACATGGACCACCAGCTCCCTAATTGAGAGGAAAAGATTAAAATACTCTTCAAACTCGATTTCTCTAGAACATTCGGATTGCATTGAATTACTTTTTTCCATATAAATTTAATAATAACGGTTTAATTTATCTTGGTTGGGTGAGAAAAATTCAGTTTGACATACCCAATTTCGAGCAATCCTAAACTATTCCCGTTATTTTAGCCTATCTGTAAAATGATATCCACTTACAGGCTAATGAACACAAGTATTATTGCAAAAGATATAGAATTCAACTAGAGACTTTCTGTTTTCCGCGGATGTTTCTGAATATTGAATGACTTTTCACCAAGATCGTCGAGGCCAAGATTTTTAGATTCAAATGCGGACCAGAACCAAATGAATATAAAATTTCATAT